AGGAGGGTGAGAGAGGGTGCAGGAGGGTGAGGGAGGGTGCAGGAGGGTGAGGGAGAGTGCAGGAGGGTGAGGGAGGGTGAGGAGAGAACCCCTCGGAGCTCCCAGCTCCCCTGCAGCGGATCCGGTAAAAAGGGTGACTTTGGAGGTGAGAGAGGATAAACCCAAACCCCAGCACGGTGAGTTCTGTGACCTCGCCGCGGGGTCCTGACCTGTGACGTGGGTGTGAACGTGGTGCCTGCTTCCCAGGGCGGTTCTGGCTGGACTAACTCAGTGGAAGGCGAGTGCTTGGGGGAACCCTGGCCCAAAGCAGGCGGGACATGACTGTTCCCTGTCGCACGTGTGCATGCGGGAGGGGTGTCCTCAGAAACACGGAGGGGCCGTGGCTGCTTCCCTCTCAGCCTCCCCCCCCCCCCCCCCGGCACCGAGACCGTGAGCCAGAAAGACCGGAATTCCCGGCTGTTGCTACAGCAAAAACCCGTCCCAGAAACAGGGTTCTTTGCAAACAGGCGGTGTTTTCTCTCAAGTTCCTCTGAGGCCTAGAAACAACGTTACAGCTCAGCTGAGCTTACGCTGCAGGTTCACACTGGCCCCTGACTGACCGCTTCTTCCAGGATGCCACATGGAATTTCTATTTACGTTTTTAATATTTTATTGAAAAACACTTTAAATCGAATGGATGTCAGTGCAGGAAATTTGTTCCTTAGGAAAAGATCTTGCCATACCTTTTTTATTTGTTTTTCTTTAACATTTTTCAAAAGCTCTTCCTGCCCTAACCGGTTTGGCTCAGTGGATAGAGCGTCGGCCTGTGGACTGAAGGGTCCCAGGTTCGATTCCGGTCAAGGGCATGTACCTTGGTTTCGGGCACATCCCCAGTGGGGGGTGTGCAGGAGGCAGCTGATCGATGTTTCTAACTCTCTGTCTCTCTCCCTCTCTGTAAAAAAAATCAATAAAATATATATATATATATTTTTTTAAAAAAGCTCTTCCTAACCAGTAATTTCAGTTCAGGGCCCACCCACCGCTGGGTCTGTGACATTTCCTAAGAATTAGAGTTGTGTCGGCTGCCGTCTACGTCCCTCCGTGGCCGGATGGGGCCAACGTGCCCGGGAAGAGTTTATCCCTCTGCAAACCTGACACCAAGTCCTACAATGTAGAGAATAAATGAAAGTGAACTCGGGAAGAAATGCCACTGAATAGTGTATCTCTTCCTTAAAAAATAGATTCGCCCACCTGCCTCCCCTTGGGTAACCGTCAGCCTTTTCTCTGTCTATGGACTCGTTTCCGTTTGTTTATTTGTTTGCGTTGTTCTTTAGATTCCACACGTAAGTGAGATGTGTGGTGTTGTCCTTATCTCACTCAGCATCACGCCCTCTCGGTCCATTCGTGTTGTTGCAAATGGCAAGATTTCACTCTTTTTTTATTGCTGAGGACTATGCCCGTGTGTGTGTCCACATCTGTTCTATCCACGTGTCTGCTGCCGGGCACCTGGCCTGCTTCCACGTCTTGACGATTGTAGGTAACGCTGCAATGAGCACAGGTATGCGTGTATCTCTTCTTTGAACGAGTGTTTTTATTTTCTTCAGATAAACACCCGGGAGTGGAATTGCTGGGCCCGATGGCCCTTCTATTTTTACTGTTTTGAGGAACATCAGTACTGTTTTCCCTCACGGCTGCACCAGTTTCCAATCCCACAATCACCGCCCCGGCTCCCTTTCCTCCCGTCCTCGCCAGCACGTGCCGCGTGCTGATTCTCTGGTGCCTGAACCAGGTGATTCTGCGGACAGTTCTGGGGGGGGGGGGGGGGGGGGGGGGATCCGCGACGTCCGGCTGGAGCTGGTCTTTCCTGGGACGAGGCTGCCGAGGGGCGTTTCAGGTCCTGCTACACGGTGGCTGTGGCGGCTGCTTGTTCTGTAACACTGGGGAGTGACCCCCCATAGATCCATGAAGTTACAGTAAGTGTCATTCTGCATATGAACCATCACAGCCATTCCCCTCTCTCTCAGGAATCGGTCCCCGTTTGCTGGACTCGCTTAGTGAAATCAGACCTCAGGAATGTTGAAATCCTAAGTAGGCTTGACCGTTGTACCTTCCACCATCCAGCTCTGGCCCGGACCCGACTGCCTCCACCTGCGTGTGCTCGGCCCGGCGCGGGGCAGGCCTCCGTGGTGCCGCGCGGCTGGAGACGCGCTGCAGCTGACACGCCCGAACTCAGACCCCCAACACTGGACCCTGTGAGACGTGAGACAGAAGG